CTTCGTTTCGGAGGCACCGCTGCATAAAAAAATATTAGTCAAAATAATTTTTTATATAGATACAATATTAAATACAAGTAATTAGAATAAATCTTAATTACCATCGTTCTGGTGATCACTAAAACCTCCACCGAACGGATGTGGTGGCTCGTCACCACCGTCACCTCCATGGCCCATCACAGCAGCCATGAGATGGAGCAATGCAATCCAAGAAAAGGACATCCTGAAAAATTATAACACAATATGAATATATATACATATAATATGATATGATTACAACAAATACAAACCTTATTTTACTAGTCAAATGTAAAGATTTTTTTAATCATTCTCGCCCCCAGACACTTCAGTGTCTGCTGACACATCACTATCATAATCAGAATCTTCCTCATCATAATCAGTCTCGCAATCAGACACATTATTGATGATACTCGTTGGTGGGTCAACTTCAATATCATCTTCAACCGATTGAGAATTTTGAAAGTACTGGATAAAGTCGATTGAGAGAGTGAAATTAAAAGAAACATTACTAAGAACGACATCGGTTGAATCAGTGTCGACATTTTCAATAGGATCATGGTTGACATCGTTCATCGGTATCTGGGTTCCTTTCATCGCGGTTGGTATCATTTTCAATCACACCCCCCATAACATCATCAATAACATCGGCCATCTCGTTACTGCGCGGTATTTCTTCAACAACCGGATGAGTTGTATTTTCGCCGTGATACTTCCATATAACATAATGTGGACTAAAACCATGTTGAAGTATATGGAATTTCATTATGGCTAGTATTATAAATTTATTGACATTACATTTGTTACACGGGCATCTGATTTGACATTTGTTATCGACGTGTGGTTTGGACCTCTCGACAAAAGATTCGAGTCCTTGTTAGAACAGGGTAGAGTTAAGGTTTTCAATAGTAGTCCAAGTTTTATCAATAGACATGTTGCAACTGAAACATAGGTTAGGTTTTAGTGTTTACTCTGCAAGAACCAGCATTAGGATTGAAAATTTATAAGGATAGGCTTCTAAACCCAACTTATTTTTGTTTTATTATGGCATTGTACTTTCAACGATATTATATATTTGTAATTTATATCATCTTTATTATACCATTGTACTTTAACGTCTTAATTTTGATTTTTATTTTTTATTATGGCATTGTACTTTCAACGATATTATATATTTGTTATTTATATCATCTTTTTTTTCTCCATATTTTGATTTTTAATCCCAACTTATTTTTGTTTCTATTTTTCTATTTTGAGTAATTATAATTTAGTACATTTAGCGTCTTAATTTTTCATTTTTATTTTTTCTTATAACATTGTCGGCTCTAATAATTATATTTCTTGTTGTGCGGTGACAGGATACTTTAAATGATATTATATATTTGTTATTTATATCATTTTTTTTTTCATATTTTGATTTTTAATCTCAACTTATTTTTGTTATTTATATCATAACATACAATTTACACACATACAAGTACATTTTTTTTTCCATATTTTCAGTTTTAATATCAACTTATTTTTATTTTTTATTTTTCTAATATACATTTTTCCATTTTTCCATTTTTATTTTTTATTTTATATTTTAAGTTTCTAATACACATTAGCGGCGACGTGATACTTTAAACGATATTATATATTTGTTATTTATATCATCTTTTTTTTTCATATTTTGATTTTTAATCTCAACTTATTTTTGTTATTTATATCATAACATACAATTTACACACATACAAATACATTTTTCCATTTTTTTTTATTTTTTATTTTTAGTTTCTAATACGCATTAGCGGCGACGTGATACTTTAAACGATATTATATATTTGTTATTTATATCATTTTTTTTCATACAAATACATTTTTCCATATTTTTAGTTTTAATATCAACTTATTTTTATTTTTTATTTTTCTAATATACATTTTTCCATTTTTATTTTTTATTTTTTATTTTTAGTTTCTAATACGCATTAGCGGCAACAAGATACTTTAAACGATATTATATAGTTGGTTTTTATAGCAGCTTTGGGGGCTCGGTAGTTTGATTTTTAATCTCAACTTATTTTTGTTATTTATATCATAACATACAATATACACACATACAAATACAATTTTCCATATTTTTAGTTTTAATATCAACTTATTTTTATTTTGTAGGGTCGAATACACAGACAGAACAGGTTTTCCAATTATAACATCATATACACGTATATATATGCATTTCACATACAAATACATTTTTACATACATATACAAACATATCCATACATTTTTACATACATATACAATATACACACATCCATTTCACATACAAATACACATACATATACATTTTTACATACATATACAAACATATACATACATTTTTACATACATATCCACACATATACATACATATTTATATAAATATACACATATACATATACATTCCACATACAAATACATACATTCCATAAACATACATACATTTTCACATAAAAATTTTCATATATCTACACCTATATACATAGATTTTTCACATATACATACATTTCACATACAAATACTCTTATACACACATTTTTTCATACATACACATACATTTCATATATATATACATTTCACATACAAATACACTTATACACACATTTTTTTCATACACACATACATTTCATATACAAATACACATATACATATACATTTCACATACAAATACCAACATTTCATATACTACATTAAAAACAGAAAAATTAAGAAAAAAAAACCTGGAAAATCGTTGTGGTGTGGTGTTGTGGTTGTTGTCGTCGGAGAAGAGGTGATGTCACCGGAGAAGAGGTGGTGTCACGGGAGAAGAAGCTGTGAAACCACCAAAATACCAAATTACCATACAAATTTGTTACAGAAAAAAAATTGAAAGAGAAAGGAGGAAAGGGAGCACATACCCTCGCTGCAGATGCCGGGAAAACGCAAGTTTTCTCGCAGGAAAACTTATCACAGCCGGAAAAACGGGCTAAACTAGTGGGGGGAGAGGAGGAGTGAAGTGGAGAGGAGAAAGGAGAGGTTTTGTGGTGGTGGTTGCTGGAGAAATCGAATGGACGAGCCGTTGTGGTGGTAAATCGCCGAGAGGAGGATTGTGGGTGATTGTGGCTGTCACTTGTTCTGAGACACGAAGTTCGGGTAAAAGGGACAAACCCTTTAGCGGCGACGGTATTTGCGGCGACAAGCTGGCAATTGGGGCGACAAGTTGGAGGGAACGGGTCCCTCGTCTTTTTTGGTGACCAGTAGCGACGATGGACGCGTCTCTGTTAGGGTCGCCGCTATTGCTTTCGTACGGAGGAACCCTGTCCGTTGGATCAGATGAAAAGTGAACGGCCACGATTGATTGTAGACGAAATCACACGGATCGCCGATGTGTCCTATTAGAGACGACGCATTAGCGGCGACGGGCTGCTTTTAGAGACGACACATACACGTGTTGTCATGTGTGTCGTCGCTAATAGTCCCTGTCGTCTCTAATAATGTCACCTCTAATACTTATATTTCTTGTTGTGCTACAAAAAAAATCATTTTCATCAATTTTCTTCGGTGTTATGTCGTTAATTTCTAATGGATCTTTATCTTAAAAAATCATTTTCCAATGGTAATCTGTAGGTAATTTTGAAACGGATATCCAATGAATTTCTTTAGTTGCTATTTGTCATATACACATTGTCAAATTTGTTTTTTTTTTCTTGTTTTTTTTTCTCTCTCTCTCACACCCCGCGCGCCAAGGTTAGCCAAAAGAGGGATGCAAATTCCCTCGTATTTATCTCCGCTTTGCATGAATAGAGTGGAATCGGAGGATCATGTTTTTCTCAAATGTTCGGTGGGTTGTTAAACGAGGATTTTGCTAAATAAATGGTGCGATGACATTGCTATTGGGGCCAATACCATTGAAAACTTTCTCACTAGTAGAACGGCTTGCAAGATTGAAGAAATCACATGTGGAGGTTTGGCATGCGGTTTTAGCGGCGTACTGTTGGATTCTGTGGAAGGCTTGAATGATGCTCTTTTCAACAGCACGAAGCCCAAGAAAATCCCGTCTTGGGTCCTTGAGATGGAGTATTTTCTTTTATTTGGATTATTAGTCGTTTAAAGCTTGGTGTTGAACAAACGTTTCATGTTGTTCAAAAAAAAAGAGTTAATGATTATTCTTGATAAATCCAAATACCAAGAAGATGCTCAAATAATTGAATTAGCTAGTAATACTACTATACTGATTATAGTAATTTTACAATATACATTAACCAGATTTAATTAGAAAATAAGAAAAAAAATGTTGACTTTTAAGTATGTTCAGTTCATCTTTTAAAATGATGTAATTTCTATTTCTAGATTGTAGCTTTCTAGAATTCTTTCATCATTCACACAAGGTGTATATAGATCAAAATAATATTTATTTACCATATATAACGATTATATTTAGTATAAAAACAATGGTAACTGAAAACTAGTAAAAAAATTATATATATATAAGGAATATATTGGTACATCCTAGTCATAACGTATTCATTATATGTCGTCGTTGCTTACACGTTGTTGCTTTCTTTACGTAAATTGTGGAGAAAACCCTGCACAAAGGATTTAGAATGGAAAAACAAATTAATTAGATGATGACCTTTGAGTATAAAGATTGGAGGAGTTGTATTCGATCAAGTTTCTTGATATTTTTCTACTTTTAGATTTTATAGAACCAACGATAAATGTTATCATTATAGTTCAATAATAACCAAAAGAAAAAATCAAACCGATAACACATAAATAATCTATTGTACCCTATGCAATTGCATAACGAACTGGATGAGTGGATCAAATATTGACGCTTTAAAATGAAACGAGCAACAATTACAAACCCAAATCAACCTGTGTATGTACATATAGAATCAATCTCTTAATATACAACAAATCAATCACTTGGTTCAAATCGAAATCAAACATAAAAATACTGAATAATCAAATGTTCTTATCTTAATTTTTCTATGCCTAAAATACTTGAGCTTGAAATTAATTACTACTCCTAGAACACTATGCCATTGTCATTATCATCGTCATCGAATTCCATGTCTTGTAGATTCTGAGAAGAGGCATAGTCTTCTAACGCCATATCGTAAAAGAAACCATAGTGATCTTCACACTTACTATTTGAGCTTACAATCATTTGGTCCATACATTCCTTCAAGGTAGCCTCTTGCGATAACTGGAGAAGATTTGGGAGGTTGTATTGCTGTGGTGATATGTCCAAGTAATTTTTGTGGTGACGGTGGTGGTGAACCGGTGGTGTTGGATTTTGATTGGAGAGGTTGGGGGTGGTGGTGCAGATATGGTGGTGGTGGTGGACACAAGGCGGTGGTGGGAGGGTGGGACATGCATCATCATGATTTAGTGAAGTGGCATCATATGTATTGTGATACATGTCTTGTGGGCTGCGTTCGTTGCTATTGTCTCCCTTTGCTTTGTAAAACACTCGACATAAAACCCAGTCTTCCTGTTGATTGAATTCAACCAAAACGAAAAGAAACTTGGTCAACCAAAACTTGAAAAAAGAGTTCTCATATTCTTCATCAATATATTTAATTCTCGGTGTGGAATTTAAAGAATTGATTTAATTCTTACCTTGGGCGGAATATTAGGGTTTTCAAGACGAAATTCATGCATGATCCAACCGGTTTTAATCCCATTTGGTGCGCGGTTTTTATAAAACACTAAAGTCTTCCTCATCCCCACGATGGCACCAGTTCTCGTATCCACAACTGTCCTATCTTTTCCAGTAGCCTTCCAGTATCCGGATATAGTGGCCCTGTTTGTTCGATATCCAGTTGCATACTTGCGATCACGAAAGCTGAAGAAGTACCACTCGCTTGAATTGAGTTTCGCCATCTCTTTATTAGCATAAAAACAAAAATTAATAATTGATACCAGACATCATTAAAAGCTTGAAAAACTAAGACAATAATTAAATGCTTTAAAATGACATAAAAGCTTAGACAAAAAGCGACAACGATGCAGAATAAATTAAATGAAGGCGTTTCCAGTGGTACAGTGTTTAGGATTCAAATGGAAGACTAACAAACATGATGCATATTACTGGTACAATGTCAATTTCAGAATATGTCCTTATTAGCACTACCTCTGATGTGTATGTGACAAAGAAATGTGTTTCCATTCACCAACTTACAAGCATCACATGCATATCGATATACATAGGGTGTGTTTGGGATTACTTTTTAAATTTAAAAGTGTTTTTTATAAAAAACATTTTGTAAAAAAACTTTTTTTAAAACAAGGTTTTTAAAATATGTTTGGCTTTACTTTTAAGTTTTTTAAGTGAGAAAAGCCAAAAGTCACAAAATGCTGTCTTTTGTCCAGCCAACTTTTTTTTCTTAGCTAAAAATTGATTTGAAAAAACTTTTCAATTTATCAAATAACTTTTTTGTAATTTTTTAACGTTTTGAAAAAAATTAAAAGTCAAAAAGTTAATTGAAAAAAATCCTAAACACCCTCATATTAGCATACATACTGATACACAGACATGAAATATGATCGATCAATATGATGGAATTCCTTGGTTCTTCACAGTTTTTGAGTTCTTTTTTGAACTTTTATATATATATATATATATATATATATATATATATATATATTTTTTTTTGCTCCAGTCAAATGTTAAAATAAAAATACTTAAATTAAATTATGAAAAATCAAATATTCTACTACTTTTTTTTTCTTAGGATATATTTTAAAGAGTGTGATACAAGTCATATTTAATAAAATTAATAATTTTTTATTATACTTGTTATCATCTAAAAATGGTAAAATGGTAAAAGAACGGGTAGAAAGAAAATATAAGAATCTATTTAATTTCTCTTAAATTATTTACACCTGTCGACAATTTTGCTGCATTCAAATCATTTTAAACGCACGTCAAAGTTGTCGTCGTCCGAGTGACCATAATTATTGTTTTTTTTTTTCACAAGGGACCAGTTAATTGAAGAAAGCAAGAAGGCTGTCTAATTAAAAAAATATCATTATCCAATCATAGCTTTTAAATCAGTTCCCACAGATACACAGAATGATATCTTTCATATAATACGATATAAAGTTAAGGATAGAATTTAATAGCAGCAGAATATATATAATTTAATCAGCGTGATTGATTAGGATGATTGATACATACATTAATTAGTGTATCTATATCTTTTGTCATATCCATTAAAAAATATATAGTGAGAAAGAGAAGGGGATCGGGGGTTAACTGGAATAAACAAGATTTCTTGATTCCATATTAAAATGTCCTTCGGGATGTGTGTGATCATGAAAGTAGTCTGTGCTCTTTATAATGACTATATATATGGATATGAAAAACAGTAATAGTTAAAGCACTACGAAATTCAGACTTCAAATTAAGTTCCCACTCAATAGATTAATCATGCAGTGCCTATAGATATAAAGATTTCTATATTGCTTACTCTCGCAAAAAATAACGCGTAAATCAATCTACCATGTATATATGTGCAGTGAGTACTATTTCAAAAGCTTGAATTGCATGCCACTATCTGCATAATCTAAATCGGGTTAAAACATTCGATTTTTGGGTGTTTGTGGTTGATTTTTTTTGTAAAATCACAAAAAAGCTGCTAGCAAAATTAGCATGATCTGACAACCATGTGCACATATGACTGGTTGGTTGTATCTAATTGTTAAACCCATCAAAAAACTGTCTAACATGTTCATTGTCTGCTCAAAACGAAACTAAACATGCATTTCTTTCCCAAGTTCCCATGATCAAACAGAAATAATTTAATCATAGAAAATAAACTTGGAGAAACTAAACTCACCAGGAAGCTGCCATGGCTCACAAGTATGAAGATCAATTTCCACTAAAGTACCCTTAAGAACATCTTCATTAGCTATCTTCTTGTAAAGATAGTGGCAAACCAACTCCTCATCACTAGGGTAAAACCTAAACCCCGGTGGCAGTGTGGCTCCAATATCTCTCAAACCCATCTCCTTATTTTATTACAGATCGAGGAAGATTAAAGCATGTACAGGCTCAATTCGTCACGAAAATGCTTAAAGATTAGGTCGTGTAATGGAATGGTTTTCTAGTATGTGTTTGTAACGAGGGAGTATATATTGAGTTTCTAATAATAAAGAAGAAAGGTGGTGCTGTATATAAGGGGGCGATAGGGGATAGAGGTTGAAAGGTACCTTTGTCACCAAGAATTCATTAATTACGAATCTTGATTCTAACAGTTTATGATTATGCTTGTATAGTTTGTTATTGTTTCTGAGAGGGAACTTTCAAGAAAAACCAAAGTCGCACGAAATCAATATCTGTCCCTATATGGTGTGCGTTACTGTTTAATATAAATTAAAGTGATCAACACACAAAATAATAAACATAAATAGCTAGTTCACTGCTGTTAAATTAAAAAAAGTTAATGTCAAAATGATTAAACCCTTGATAAAAATAGATGTTTCAATATACATACGCGTTCAAGTTGGTACGTTACAAAAGGTTGGATAGATCATAGAACCCACATCCCATAGATGTGGTTTTATAGGTCATCTAAAAATAGAAATATCTAAATCGTAAGATCTTTATCATGACAAACCAAACCAAAATTATATAAAGCTAAATTTTAATTTTTAAACACCGTTCATGGAAAGCAATATTAAAAACCTCTAAAAACTGCAGATTATGTAATGTAATATCCTGTACGTTCCTAAATAAATTGTCTTAATTATATATTTGAGTTCAATCCGAATTAGGGGTTTAATTAGTCATGTTTTTTTTTTTTTTTTTTTTTTTTTCTTTAGACCTGTCTTAATTAAAATTCAATCAGCAATGTAATCTAAAACGAAACCCAATGAACCAAAACCCACCGAATTATATACTTAACCGAAAACTGCAGATCACTTCATACCCAATTATCTAACGGTTAAAAAGTATTAGGATTTTAAAATGTTTAAATACCGAAAACAATTATTATTTTAGAAGTGGAGATAGTGAAGCAAGATTCTAAAACCATGAGCATGCTCTCCAAAAACACCAAGTTGTGAGTAGGTGGGGGAAACATCCAAATTCCAGCTTTTTTACTATCTTTGTGAAATTAATATCATTGGATCTTTCAATTATTTGCCATTTTCACGATCCCTGTAGCTTTTGGGGTGCATATAAACCAAACACAATAGACAAAATTGCTACTTTAAAGCCACCTTCTTGAATATATATTCAGAATAACATAATCCTGTGAGTGGATAAAGTCTTTTAGTGTCCATTTGTTCTTGTTTTTGTTCTTTTTTTGTTAGGTCATAAAGGCATTGAATGCATAAAAAGTTGCTTATTATATAATATATATATTATATATATATATATATATATATATCTATATATATATATATATATATATAGAGAGAGAGAGAGAGAGAGAGAGAAAGAGTTATAATGTGGATGGACACTATTGTATGGACGTGTGAAACTATGCTATCTACAAGAATTACTAAGAAAATAAGTTGTTTAATAATGTG